TAGATGAGTCCTGACGTGAGTGCGGGGGACTGGACTAGATGACTTCTTGAGGTCCCTTCCAGTCCTGATTCTATAGCAAATGAGATTGTTGACAAATATATGGTAACATGCACGAGAAGAGATGATTTGAACTACATGTACACGATGCTGGGATCTAAATTAACTATGACCATTCAGGAAAGAAATCTAGATGTCATTGTGGACAGCTCAGTGAAAGTATCTGTTCAATGCGCAGCAGCTGTTAAAAGTTAATGCGTAAGGATTGGTTTAGAAAATAATACTGAACACTTCATAGTGCTGTTATATAAATCTGTGATAAGCCTTCACCTAGAATACCGTTCATTTATAGTACCCTATCTCAAATACAGCAGCAAAAGAAGGGGCCCAGAGAAGGATAGCAAAAATGAAGCATTGAGAGACTGGAATAGAAGGGACTGTTTGGGGAGGAGATGAATAACAGGGGAAATGGTACAAAATAACAAGTAGTATAAAGAAAGTAAATTGGGCGCTTCATTTACCTCTTCTCAGAATACAACAACAATAGCCGTGAACAAAACTGAAAAGCAGCCAATTTTAAAATTGACAATTGTTTTTATACGAGTCAGTAGTGGCAACTCACTGCCACAAAATATCATTCAGACTAAGATTTAGTAGTTTTCAAAAAAGGGCAAGACCCATATGGAGAGAAGAGTCAGTTCCGTTAGATAGGGGTTTTATAAAGAGAATTAGACCCTTCTGCTTCAGAGCATTAGCCAACTACTGACATGAGTTCTCTCATGAGCAGGTTATACTGTAATTGTCTACCAGCAGTGTTTTTTGCACCTTCATCTGAATATCTGGTAATGGCCACTGTGGCTTTGTCAAGACTAGAAATTGGAAGTTGTTAGCTTAACATATGTTGACGCCCTAATGTGGACAAGTCTTTTAATGGGTTGGCTAACACCTGACAAGGCCGGTCAGACAGGGTATTTGACTGAGTGGACCACTGGTTTATCTGGCAATTTCTGTGTTAAGTTAGGGAGGAATTAAAAACAGAGTGGCGCGTGCTCCGAGCTGGAATCAATAAGACAATAAACATGGAGCTCCATGATGTTTCTGTAATCGTTTTTTGGAGCAGAAGTGCTCGTTAAAATTACCCTTGGAACTTAGTTTCACTCTTGCTTGTCTTCTGGCTAAGTACTGAGGGATTCCAGTTTGTTACATGTTTCTTGCATTAGAATTACTCTTGTTTTTAGGCAGGTAATATACAGAAATGATAGCTATGGATGCTTCTAAATGTGAAGAGCATAAACATAATTTTTGGAAACTTGCTGTTATATTTGTCTGAGCTAAGTGATGACAAGCATGACAGAGTGCCTTAGTGGGTTCGGCTTGCAACTTTAGGAATGTGCGGCTTTCCTTGTTAATCTCGCTAATTTGTGGTGCTAGACAAGTGGTGATCTGCAATTTGCACGTAGTATGGTACAGGCCACATTGACAGTGTGCTGTGTATCATAACAATGTTCATAAGCTTGTCGCAGGATGGTATTTTTTAAAATGGGAGAACTTTTTCATAAGAGATCAATTCTTAGCGCTGAATATTTTTCCTGTTAATGTACTGCAAGTTTTTTTACCCCTGACTTAAAATCTTTTTAGGTGCAAATTATTCTAATTCAAGGCTTAAATTTCTGCTGGTATTTTTTCCTTTCAGAGCTGAGAAAACTGAAGTCCTCAGTGAAGATCTATTACAGGTACTGTAACTCAGTTAATGTGCTGCCTTTAAATGCTTTATTATCAAGAACTAAGCAAGCTTCTGACTTCATAGACTGCTGTTTGTGGAAACAAATCACAAGATTACAAGGACAGAAGTTAGGGGGCTGCAGCTCTGTTTCCTCAGACTGGGCAATTTATGATATAGCTTAAGGAGAAGCGAAACTGTCAAGCCACGTGAGACAAAAGGGGATTTGAAAGTTGAAGTGCACTAAAAAAGCAAGTCCTAGATTAGAAGCAAAGAAATTGTAGCTTTGTATTAAGTAAACTCGTTCACTGTATAAAAACCATTCTTTACAAGAATATAATTGCTTTTCTTGTTGACTTTCTCTGGCTGTTTCTAGCTTGGGAGAACATTACTGTTTGGCAAGGCCTCTTCCTGTCCCCTTGTTCCTCTGTTTCTTCCTGAAGGAGTTAATTTATATGGGTTTCAGAAACTGCAATAAATGCAGAGATCCAAAGATTATTCTGAATAAGTCCATGTTCTGTTTATTTCTTGCAGTTTACACAGTAAGTGCTGTCCTAGCTGTCATGCAGATAGCAATTGTGATACTTTGAGTTGTAATGGACATTTTTTGCAAGTCTCTGATCTTTTTTTTAAAGTTGTACTATCTACTTAAACATAGCATTTGTCCCTGAATTTTTAGATACTGTTTTTACAGTGACTACCGATGACAGGTATAATTGACAGATAAATGGAAGTTTTCTTTTCACCTTTATTCATTCATTCGCTAGCTCTTAATCAGTTTCTTCTGTATGTGTAGGTCTTTTGCACAGCAATTAGGGGAAGAAACCTTTTTTTTTTTTTACGAACAATGTGATTGCTTAAACCACAAAGGTTGGCTGGGGAACTTGGGTACAATAATAGCCCCAAACCAATTCAAACTTAGTTACATAACTAGGTTCCAAGTTGACAGAGTCTTTCTAATATGATTAAATTTCCAAAAGACTCGCATTTGAGGCTGAAATTTTCCATGCTTGGTCTCTGCAAAGAAGCTCCTTTTTTCAAAATTTGAGATTCTCTTCAGCAGTTGAAGTTACAAGAGTGAAAAATTAATTTATATTTAAAAAAATTTAAATGTTGATGTTGGAGGTGTATTTATAACTACCTCCGGTAATCCTGAAACAAGCTAACTTGACATAGTCCAGCTTTCTCCTGGACTAGAGGGTTTACTTTATCTTTGGATCAGAAATATCCAACAGTTTTTGGCAAGATTTCTGAGAAAATATCTGAAGTAAAGCTTAAAAAAATCTAGCTATATTAAGGACTTTAAAATATGCCATGAGAGAGCTTGCAGGGCTCATCTGTTGTCTTAGTTAGAAGGCAGAATATGAATATGAAATAAAGACAAACTCTTTGTCACTTGTTGCCAAAAAATTTTGCAAGCAGTTTTCCCAGGCTCAGAAACCAGACTGGTTAGACCCAGATGGAAGAGTTTGCTCGTTCTTGGGGAAAACGCTTGTCTGACTAAACTGCCTACGCATTTGGTAGTGATCATCTTATAAACAGGCTTTCAACTTTATGTTTAACTCATACGTTTTGGCTTTGATACATTTTTAAATAGTTGTTCTAATTTGCTGAGTGCAATATTCATCTTCAAATATGCCTTGATTAAATTTAGTGCCTTTCCAAATCAGGCAGGGACTACCCTTCAACAGTATTAGAAATGTTAATATGTGTCTGTAGTGCATACTCCGTACAGTTAGCACAATGATGTCCAACCAATTGTGTATCTTCTTTTCTTGAGGCAAGGTTGGAAGCATCTGTGTTTGAACCTTGACTGAAAAAATGCTACTTTCTAATCTACACTCTAGATATCTAAACAAAGTTACAATCAGTGTTAGCAGCAAAGATGAGTCTTTCAGTAGCTTCGTTGACCTGGAGGAGGGTAGGAAGAACTACCATATCTGTTCCCCCTTTATATGTCTAGGACAGTCAGATCCACTTGTCCAGTTGCTGACACAGTAGTTACTGTAGCAAGCACTGTGACATAGAATTGAGGATTATATTCTTCTGCAGAACAAAATACTGCTTCATGCTTTTGTTGCCTGCTCTTTTTGTGATAATGGTTTCTAATCATGCTGGAATTCTTAAGCAAAGATGTGATTAACTCAGTCAGTAAGATTTTTAGGTGGTCAATTTATATTGAAGATTTAGTGACCATTAATAAAAATGTGGTAATATTCTTCAGTAGATACCCATGACTTCTTATAACATTGAGATCTCGGAACCATCTTAAAACATCAAGAAAGCAAGCACTGGTATAATAAGCTTCATCTTAGGAGGCACAGCAGAAATGAAGCAGTCAAGCACATATTTCTGCTACATGCTATGAAAATCAACTATTGAAACACGGCCGTCCCGGCCACCCAGTGTCCTTGGTGAGCACGGAGTACTCGGTCTCAGAAGAGTGGAATTGTTTTCGGGAAGAATCGATTTTAATGGCAGTGTTCACAAATAGAAAGCAATGGTGTACATAATTTCAGTGCAGCATTTTACAATGGCTGTTTACATCTTGGCTTATTAAAGTAAAAAGCCTCCTTTTATCAAGATTACTACATAGCTAAATGTGAGTCTTTCAGGCCAGCAAGCTGGTTTCGAGTTTAAATGGCCATAGATGCCAAGCAAACAGTACGTGAAAGCTTTTAGCTATCTTAAAGAGGGGTAACGTGAAAGGAAATCCATTACTGGAAAAAGCTTCATCAGGGCTTTGAGTGTAGGACAGTTCTCAAAATGGAAAAGAAGAGAAATAGCAGCAAGTTCATTCTGCGTTCTTTGTAATTAAGAAAAATTTGAAGCTCAATTTGCCATTTGTGGGGAAGCCCACAGTTGATACGCTTTGTAATTTTACAACCAGTTGCTGTGTGCTTAAGGGTGTGATACCTAAGCAGAACAAATTTTAATCTTTCCTAGCTATATTTTATGTTTAGACATGAAAATGTAATGCCCTCCTGAAAAGGTTAATTTTTCAGCACTAGCAGCATTTTTAGGTGCTTAACTGAAGACTTGAATGTGTTCAAATTACTTCCGCAGATGAAACTTGTTATGCTTTTTTGGTGTTTTTTTTAAATAGAAACCATTCTGAAGGGATTCCTTTTAATCTTGGTGAGTCATCAAAATGCAGATAAACTGCATTCCTTTGACAAGGTACATAGCGTTTATAGTGCCCTAAGCAGTCCTTCCCCAACACACTCCTATTTTGGGGACTATTCTTGATGATGTCCTTTACTTAGAAGAATCCTTTAACTATTTCCATTACTGGCTTTCAGTGATTCTTGAAGCAAAATAATCTTAAAATATACAAAGACATTTTAATATTTCAGCTAGCGAGGACAAGGGTTCAAATGCATGAAACTCAACGTATGTGGAGATCTTGAAAAACATACCAGCATTTTTTCTTCATCACAAAAACCCCTCAATACTTGTCTGTCTTATTATCTCTTCCACCCATCCATGCCTACATCACCTTGTCCTCCATCTACTATTGCATAAAGCTTAGAATTTTCCTTCATGCTTGATAACCAGAGAGCAAACCTGCTAGCCAAAGACCAATGATGAGGGCTGGGGGACACTGGCCAAAGGCAACACTTAGATGGCAACCACGTGGTTGTCTTCCATTCCACCCCACACAGCTGTAGGGAAGGGAAAGGACTATTGAATTCTTACCGGGATATTATCCCTAAATAATGCTTGTGAACATGCCTTTCATATCAAACTCCAAATACTAGGTGTCAAAGTGGGAACCCCTTCTGGCTGCTCTATGGGGAAGCAGAATATTGTCTCTTCTTTCCCTTCCATTCCCGAGTCTCTTGGATTCTGCAAGTCACAGCAAAATCAGGGAAAGTTTGTGCCACCATTAATGGAAATCATTTAAGTCCCCTTCAAAATAAATTTGCTGTCAGGCTCTTACTGTTAAACTGAATTTTTTGTAAGCTGTAGAACTTGAGAAACATACAAACATGAACTGAATGTGGCATAGGAGGAAGATGATGTGCTGAGGCCAAGAAAATAACTTCCGGGTTGTGTGTTGTTTGTGTTTTTTTTTTTCTTTTCCATGGCTAGATTGAGAGACGTCTGGACACAGTGAGATCTGTTTGCCATATTTCACAGAAGCGGCTAATAGCATGTTTTCAAGGCCAGTATGGCACTGATGCTGATAAAAGACATGTAAGTACTAGAGCACTTCAGATAGTACTCGGATTCTGGCTTGTAAAGGCCTTCTTTGTACTGATCAGCTGACATGTCCTAAGTCAGCTACCAGAACAAAACTCTCCTGATTCATCCCACATGTTGACATTTCCTACTGATTGGAATGCTTTGGTAAAGCCCCACTGTGTGCAGGGTGCTCTAATGTGGTCAGAGCACTTGCTCTGTTCCCTGTGTCTGGGAATGTATTTGACTTAGGATACGTCATTTGTAAAATGCATCCATATTCCTCTCTTTCGGTGTGCTGAGCCCCTGCTGACTTCATTAGGAGTTTCAGGTGCTCAGCAACTCTGAAAATCAAACTCTCTTAAAAGTACATACAGAATCCTTTTGACTAAAATCAGTCAAAAACCTTTCCCCACAAAATAGACTAAATACTTAAACATAAATAGATGACTATAAACATCATCTGAAGGAAAGTCTCAGGAGAGGCTCTTACACATACAGACACAAAGAATGCCCTCCCACCAGATTTTAAAACCTTGGTCTAGACCTCAGGCAAAAGTTGTGATCTGTATACAGTAGGGCTGTCGATTAATCGCAGTTAACTCACACGATTAACTCAAAAATGTCCAGTGATGTAAACAGAAAGCGGGTGGCATTATCTTCTGCAAATGTAAACAAACTTGCTTGTCTGAGTGATTGACTGAACAAGAAGTAGGACTAAGTGGACTTGCGGACTCTAAAATTTTACATTGTTTTATTTTTGAATGCAGTTTTCTTTGTATATAATTCTACATTTGTAAATTCAACTTTAATGATAAAAAGATTGCATTACAATACTTGTATTAGGTGAATTGAAAAATATTATTTCTTTTGATTTTTTTTACAGTGCAAATCCTTGTAATCAAAAATAAATATAAAGTGAGCACTGTACCCTTTGTATTGTGTTGTCATTGAAATCAATATATTTGAAAATGTAGAAAACACCCAAAAATATTTAAATAAATGGTATTCTATTGTTTAACAGTGCGATTAATCATGCAATTAATCATGATTAATTTTTTTTAAATCGCTTGACAGCCTTAGTATACAGACAACAGAATCCCTATTGGGCAGTTTTCTTTGAGGTAATCGTAGTTAGAGACTGAGTGAGAAGGTGTAGTTTCAATAGAAAATCTAAAAGTGAGACACTACTCAGTGGTTTGAGCATTGGCCTGCTAAACCCAGGGTTGTGAGTTCAATCCTTGAGGGGACTAGATGACCTCCTGAGGTCCCTTCCAACCCTGATATTCTATGATTCACTATGCCGAGTGTTCCATGTTCAAAAACTTTAACTGTGGGTTTGAAAAACAACCTCTGTTGATCAGGGTCTTCTGAAAGTCAAACTTATTCTGACTAAACAGTTCACACTAACGAGATGTCTACACTAAATGCTTCCTAAATTATGATACATGGTCATTAGCATCTCTAACTGTGGCATATTCAACTTTCTCCTGAGAAGCTTTGAAATTGGCCATTTAGCTTGAGAGTTAATCTCTCAACTATCCTGTCCTACATAAGAGTAGCAAATATCATAGTAGTCTGGAATAATTTTAAATTCATTTCAAAGGCCATTAAGATCTGGAACGCTAAATACTTCAGTAGAGATTGTAGGAAAGGGAAGAGCAAATTTTAAAACAGATACACTGGAAAAAGACTGCAAAGAGTATCTTAAGGGAGAGAAATTAAATACTAAGTCTCTTCTCTTCTACAGAAAAAGCTTCCTCTAACAGCTTTTGCTCAAAATATGCAAGAAGGATCTGTCCAGCTAAGCGATGACACTCTGTTGGGGTAAGTGTCTGGGGTTTTGTGGAGCTATGGTTCCTCATTGTATAGTTCTGCATGCAATAACTTCTGTAAAATGAGTCTATTAAAATGCTTGTACCTTTAGTTAATTAAAAGTAACAGCAGCGAATCCAGTTTATAAATGCTGCATTAATTTAGGCAATCTGCAGGACAGTGCTGATAGTATTTAGCCCTAAAGTTGACATTTTATTACCCTAGACAAATGCACATTTGCAGGTTTTTTCCATAGAATCCTAGAAATGCAGGGCTGGAAGGGATCTCAGGGATCTAGCCTACCCCCTGTGCTGTGGCAGGGCCAAATAAACCTAGACCATCCCCGACAGGTGTTTTGTTAAACTTGGTTTTAAAAACCTCCGATGGAGATTCCCCATGCTCCTTTGAAGCCTGTTCAAGAGCTTAACCATCTTTCTGGGTTAGAAAGGTTTTTCCTAATATCTAACCTAAGTCTCCACTGCTGCAGATTAAGCCCATTACTACATGTCCTACCTTCAGTGGACATAGAGAACAATTGATCACCATCCTTTTTATAACAGCCCTTAACATATTTGAAGTCTCTTATCCCAGTTGTCTTTTCTCACGACTAAGCATGCCCAGTTTTTAACCTTTCCTCGGAGGTCGGGTGTTATAAACTTTTTAGCATTTTTGTTGCTCTCCTCTGAACTCTCTCCAGTTTGTCCACCTTTCCTAAAGTGTGGTGCCCAAAAGTGGATACAATACTCCAACTGAGGCCTCACGAGTGCAGAGTAGAGTGAGACATTTACCTCCCATGTCTTACGACACTCCTGTTAATATACCCCAGAATAATAGCTTTTTTTTGCAGCTGTCCTCACATGAGGATCACAAATTGAATATGAATCTATAACCCCCAGATCCTTTTCAGCTGTATGACCATCCAGCCAATTATTCTCCATTTTGTAGTTGTGCGTTTGATTATTTTCCTTCCTAAGCAAAGAACTTTCCACTTGTTCTTACCGCATTTCATCTTGTTGAATTCAGACCAATTCTCCAATTTGTCAAGGTCATTTTGAATTCTAATCCTGTCCTCCAAAGTGCTTGCAATCCTTTTAAGCTTGGTGTCATCTGCAGATTTTATAAGCATTAAGGAAAATATTGGGCCTGGTACTAGTCAAGACTGACCCCTGTGGGATCCCATTAGATATGCCCTTCCAGTTTGCCAGCGAATCATTGATTGTAGATTTCTGAAACAAATGAAATTCAGTATGCTAACAATGAATTCTAGATTCCCAAGAACCAACATTTTCCTCAAACTTGAAATGCATTCTAATGAGCATGGTGTAGGATTTCCTAATTTATTTTTAGGGTTGTCACTAGAACTTAGACAAAAGGTCACAATATTGTTCTTAAAGATGAACCAGGATTACTTCAAAGGCCAAACCATGGTCTGGGTTTTGAACCTCTCAAAAATATTTTATTGCTTAATGTTACAGTATTAAGACTTTTTGATATTAAAGGGATGTTGTACATTGGAAAGAAGGAAATCAAAAACCTCCTACATACAGAACCAGGTCCTCAGGTCCAACCAAACTGTATTTAGTGAAGGGTCTGAAAGGGGTAGGAAGGAGAATTCTGCTTCCCCAGTCTTGGCACCACTTTGTCCCCTAGAATAACAAAGCATCCTAAAGGCTTTTTAAAGTTACAATAGTAATTCCCTAGGGATTGTTTGGATGAACAAGGTGTTCTAGCCATTCTCGCTGCCTGCCTGGGCTCACCCTGATGTGCCCCCTGTCAGGGCGAGAAGCAGGTAGCATAGAGCCACCTACCCCAGTTTTGTCACCAAAGGAATCTCTAGCATTTTCAGAAGCACAAAGTATCCAGAAAGGGGACAAAGGATTTGTCCTATAGGTCTTCATTCTGCATCTTTATTTTTTTTAGCTGTAGTTGTGTAATAACTTGAATAAACTACACAATGCTTTCCTGTCCTTTTTTTTTTAAAGGAAGATGCTTGACACTTGTGGCGATGCAGAGAATAAACTGGCAGTAGAGCTCTCTCACCATGAGGTACAGATTGAAAAAGAAATTTTAGACCCACTAAACCTACTAACAGAGGTAAGTCACTTCATGCTCCAAGAAACACTTACGGCATTATATTTTCTGAGCAAAATCATAACTGTACATGCTGCAAACTTCACTTCTGTTTAAAAAACAAGTGAATATTTTATTTAATGCAGGATTGTGGTGTTTCTTTAAGTTTTACAGACTTCAGTTACACTTAGCTACATGACACAATTCTAAAGTAAATATAAACATTAGGTGTCTGTGGTTTCAGGCAGAAATCCCCAATATTCAGAAGCAGAGGAAACAGCTTGCAAAGTTGGTTTTGGACTGGGATTCTGCAAGAGCTAGGTAAGAAGTGATTTCAAATACCATACAGTTTGCATAGTACATGCTGATTTCTTAGTAATATCTCCTCCATGCCTAACCTCGCTTTGGTATTTGCTTCTGAAGTGCTGTAATGTGCATGTTAACACTTACCGGAGGAAAACATCAATTAAGTTTAAGACCTTAAATGGTACAAAAAAGAACACCTGGCTTTCTGATTCGAATATGGCTCAAATTTAGATCTCTCATATTGTCAGCCACCAATATAGGTAGGGAAAACTGTTCACATGTAAGTGAATACAAGCGTGCATCTTTAGTCTACTCCCCTTAGCTCAATAATTTAATGAAACCAAGTTCAGCATCTGTCCAAACCGTGTTCTGCTCAGTGTTGGGAAGCGTTCCTGTGGGCAGTGATGTTTACACTGTTAGATTTATTTGTTCAGGATGCTACTAGAGTTTTTTAAAATCCTTTCAATGTTGTGTACTTTCCCACCATCTGTTTGTGAACACCAGGTTGAGGGCGAGGCATCGTCACTGTGTTGCCATAGGATTTTAATTCTGTCACCATATTGGAGTGCTTTTATAGCATTGTCAATGGAACCCTCTCATGGGCCACTGTCCAAACTTACGTTTCAGACCTCTCTACATCCTGGCTTACTGAACCTGTCATTATGGATAAATGCCCTCTTTATTAAGGAAGTGTGGCCTGCTGATATTAAGTCATGCTCATTTTTATCTGAGCTGCGTGTGGTGCTTGCTAGGACTGGTAGTCTCTGCAGACTCCACATCCATGTTGGAGAGGAGTGGCTGCAGGATCCATGCTAGGATATAGTGGCACATTAGATTCACTTGGCCACCCTGTGTCTCCTCTACAAGACAGTAGGCATGTTTCACACCAATGGCCCAGAAGGTGGGGGTTAAATTGTACTGGGACCTGGTTTTGAGACTATCTTCTGGAGTAGTGAATAGATGTCTGCTCACCAGAGGCAAGCAGTTAAGCAGAGGGGACCTTAAAGACATTGACTTTGTAAGTAGTATATTAAGCGCTAACTATAATCTCCACTGAATAACTGTAGTTTCTCTTATACAGATATAGCCAAGCCTGCAAGACTTCAGGAACTAATTTTCAAATGCATCCATCAAAAATAGATTCCCTTAAGGAAGAGATGGATGAGGCTGGAAATAAAGTAGAACAATGCAAGGTAAGGCGATCTCTATGAATCCTCTCCTTGGATATATCTGCCACTAAGGGCATGTCCATGGATGACTTTGTATACCTCATTGTGGCACCAGTTGTACTTGCTGCCATCTTCACAAACTTCAGTGGGTTAAGTGTTATAAAACAATATGCAGTTAAGGGTTATCGGGGTTAATAAGCAATGCAGAGACTGGCACAATTGATTGACATTTCTCATTTAGCTGTTTATTTCTGATTCCTGGGATATCTTACTGCTCTCCAGAAGGTCAGACACTGTGTTGTCCATCCCACAAGTAAAAATGTTTCCCCAAACCTTGCACTGTTTTCTCAATGAGGTGAATTGTCTCTCTGGTTCATTCATTTCTTGGTCTCTGAGGCTATAAACAAGGGAGACAATTGTGAACATCTATCCATTAGGCCTGGACTGAGATGTTTGCATCCTCTTCTAAACCAACAAAGAGCCACTAGGTCCTAACTAGAAGAATGGATTTCAAGACAATGACCTGGAAATTATGCTCCCAGTTTCCTTATACACAGTCCCTCAGCTGTCCAAACTCCATGCTGGAGATTCTTCACTGGGCTTTATTACTCCCATCTGTGCCTTTCTTTGGTTTTGTTACTCAGTGACACTTCTTGATTACTTTTTAATCTCACTACTGTGGAGTTTGGGCAGGAAAGTATTTGGGAAGTAATGAGTTTTATAATGAAATTTGTAGGTATTTCTACCATGTATTACTATAATATCCAAGCACAAATCATTGTTATATTTAATGGGCAACTTGACTTGCTGTAGTAAATAAAAACAGAAAGTTAAGTAAAATCCAAAAATGCTTGGAAGAAAAAACCCAAAGTGCCATTTGAACAGCTATATTTACCTGCTTCAAGGGATGATGATGTCAGTATTGTTACTTAAATGATATATCTTGATAATAATCCAGTTTAATAGTACAGACCTTTGATTCGCCCTGAGTAGCTGGATTTTTGGAAGGGGGTTCCTAAAAGAGCCTTTTCTCTGTCAGCCCTCCCACAGGTAAAGCACATCACTGGTGATGCTGAACCATTGGGCTGCAGCTGCCAGTACTGTTTATCCCATTAGTCCACTTGATAGCCTGCCACCTGATCAGTGGGCAGGTGGCTAGCTAACTTCCAGATCTCCTTGAGATTCAGCATTTTGGGCTTGGGGGGCGGGGGGGGATTATGTAATATGAATCATAGACATGTAGAACTGGAAGGGATCTTTATAGGCCATCTAGTGCAAACTCCTGCACTGAGGCAGGACTAAGTATTATCTAGACCAGGGGTCCCCAATGCGGTGCCCGTGGGCGCCATGGCGACCGCCGGGGCATCCACGTGCACCCGCCTACTGGCCGCCGGACAAGCAGCCGCCAAAATGCCACCGAGAAGTGGCAACATCAAGAAGCGCTACCGTCGAAATGATGACGCTGCTTCATGGCAGCATTTCGGCGGTGACTTCTCTTGACGTTGCCGCTTCGCGGTGGCATTTCGGCGGCTGCTTGTCCGGCGGCCACAGTCCTCGGCGGCTAGTCGTCCAGCGCCCGCCCCACGGAAAAGGTTGGGGACTACTCATCTAGACCATCCCTGACAGATATTTGTCTAACCTGCTCTTAAAAACATCCAATGACAGAGATTCCACAACTTCCCTAGGTAATTTGTTCCAGTGCTTAACTACCCTTAGATTTAGGAAGTTTTTCCTAATGACTAACCTAAATCTCCCTTGCTGCAATTTAAGCCCCTTACTACTTGTCATGTCCTCAGTGGTTAAAGAGAACAGTTTATCACCATCCTCTTTATAACAACCTTTTATGTACTTGAAGATTTATGTGCCCCCTTCTCCTGCCCCCCAGTCTTCTCTTCTCCAGACTAAACAAATCCAATTTTTTAATCTTGTAGGTCATATTTTTAGATCTTTAATCATTTTTGCTGCTCTCTGCTAGACTTTGTCCACATCTTTGCTAAAGCGTGATGCCCAGAACTGGACACAATACTTCAGTAGAGGCCTTATCAGTGCTGAGTTGAGTGGAAGAAATATTTGTATTCTTAATATATAAATTTAATGGGGGCTGCCAAACACATTACACTTGTAAATTTGAGTCTCGCAATGTAAAATGGCTTATAAAATTACAAGGTATGCTTTTCTTTCCTCCAAGGATCAACTTGCTGCAGATATGTATAACTTTGTGTCCAAAGAAGGGGAATATGCCAGATACTTTGTCATGGTGAGTGTCCTCTTGTTTGCTTATATTCAGTTATGGTGTTTGTTATATGCAAAAAAACCTTCACATTTCATTTCATGTGTTAAACCTTCTAGTGTTTGTATGTGTTCATCAGAAGCTAACAATATTTTTTTTTAAATGTGGGTTCTGTTCTCAGTTATTAGACGCACAAGCAGATTACCATAGAAAAGCATTAGCAGTCTTAGAAAAGGCCCTCCCTGAAATTCAAGCCCATCAAGGTAAAGTAACTTGTGCTCTGGCTGATGCTTCTCCTTGCCTGTGCCACCTCTGCACTATATTCTCCTTCTTTATCTTGATTCTTTTGCATGCAGACCCTTTTTAATAAGGACATTATAATCTTTTTTAACAACGTTACATTCCCCAACATACTTCCGTCTTTTGCTGCCGTGCTCTCTGGAGCTGCTCCAGTCCTATATTAACACACTAATGTAACATTAAGGGTCTGTCTGAAACCTGCGAGAGAAAGGGAAGACTTTTTGATGTTTTTAGCTTGCACTGGGGTGTTCCCTCTCTTACCTGGACATAGTGTGACTTTTCATTAACTCCTTCCTGGCACCTGTATGCCAAAGAGAACTCTCCTTCAAGAGAGAGAAGCTAGGATACTAATTTCTCTACTAGTATTGTGGGATTCAAACCCCTCCCTAAGTGTTTTTCCCTGCCTTTGCAGCATGGGGCAGGGGCACTTGCTGGTTTGAACTAAAGTAAATAGTGAATTCTCTGTAACTGTCTTTAAATCAAGTTTTGAGGACTCAGTAACTCATCCGGAGGTTGCGGGCCTACTACAGGAGGGGGTGGATGAGGTTTTCTGGCCTGCAATGTGCGAGAGGTTAGACTAGATGATCCTGATGGTCCCTTCTGGCCATAAGTCTGAGTCTAAACTTTGTGGGGAATGGTTTTTTTTTCCTGAACCCCCCCCTTTCTCTGTGCATATTACATTGCAACTACATCCTGGCCCCAAATTCTGTGGCTAATTCTAAGTGTCCAATACTGCAGAGCTAGCCTACATCAACTATTCAGGGTACATCTAAATAAGGCAGCTACATCTGTTCTATCAGGCTATGCATTAGTCAACTTGAGTTTAGGATTACCTTTACACTGTCCTCAATATCACCCTCACCAGCATGGTGCCCACTATTGTCATTGAAGTCCCTAATGCCAAAGGGTTTAGCTTCAGCAAAGTCTGAGACACCACTATATTGTGATCGATATCCAATGTGCTGAGACTTTGGCAGAGCATATCAAGCTATGGACCAAGAGGAAATTCTTAAATTCTCTAAAGCAAGGAAATTTTGAGATCTGATTTTGCTGGAAGTGAGACACACAATATCTGCATTTGATAGACCTAATGGAAGACACTATTTAACAGGCTAGTGCAACCTCATAAGTATCTTTCTGTAGTGCCATGATGGAATGCTGTGGACAATTGAGGTCTATTCTGTATTTAAGGGAACTAGGTCTGACTGCACTGGCTTGCTTCCTTGCGTATTCATTAACCAATTTGTTCAACACTTGAAAGACGAAGTACTGCCTAAGTGCTAAGTATTCTATAGCAGTCTGTATCGCTTCAAAAGCATGCTGGGAGGCAGAATGGTCCAGTAGATGCAGCCTTGGGTTCTTTTCCCACCTCTGCTCTAAGTTATCGTGACTTTGAGTGACTCTTAAGCCCTCTGCACCTCAGTCTTGCCACTGTTTGTAAAAATTGGGATCATTATGGCTCGCTTGCCTTTTGTAAAGCACTTTGCGATCGGTGGATATGAAAGGCTAAATAAACGCCAGGTAGTGGCGGTACAGCTTTTTGTATTGCATATACGCGGTATGGAAACCTTAGAAGAAGCCACAGTGCATCTGCACTAGAATCTTTCAAACCTGGTATACTCGGCTCTTTCGGTTTTTCTTTCTGAAAGAAATAGTGCATGATACAGACTGACAGGCTGTCAATGCTTTATATGCATTTTTTCAAAGACAACAGCAGAGAAGAGAAGTGTGGCTAAAAAGAGAAATAATGTGTTATCGGGTGCAAGGCAAGTTGGTCTCTTCTGGGGAAAACATTTTGTGTCAAACTTAAAAAAACAAAAACAAAAACAACCCCAAGTCTTGCAGCCGTGAGGAAAATTTTAAAGTGAGCTTGAATGCCTTTTTTTGGAAAAGGGAGGAGAGGATTGATATTAGAACAGTGAACACCCCCCCCCCTTTCATATGGTGATTCTAATGGAGACATGGGGCTACTAATTATACGTTTCTAAATAACTGACTTTTTAACACAGTGTGTTAAGCTTTGTGTTTGGCTTAGCTGTTAACACACAATGTCAGCTGCGGGTAAAACCACGCTACAAACAGCTTGGACCAAGCAATTTGAACTTATTCTGAGCAAAATTCTTTATCTACAAGAGGATTGCAAATCTACACGTTGGGGTCTCAGAGAATCAGAATGAACTTCTTAATAAATTTAAAACCACATGAATGTTCCAACTGAAGCGTGGTGGGGACATAATGTCTTCCACGTATACAAAGGAATAAATATGTGATACACTATCCGAGAGATGGGTCATTATTTACTGTCTTTTATTTACCGTCTTGGTAACACCTGCAAGCTCATCATTTTTCTCTTCACTCGTAAATTTAAGGGGCTTTACAAATCAAGGCTCAAACTTGCAGTATTTTTTTTAAAATTCCTATTACCATACTGGAGACTCTTCTCTAAACTTCTCTGGGGCATAATTCAGTTTTATTGGATATCTTGCTCAGTGTTTTTCTACTCTTTAACTAGACAAATGGACAGAAAAGCCAGCCTTTGGAACGCCATTGGAAGAGCATCTCAAACGCAGTGGTCGTGAAATTGCACTCCCAATTGAAGCCTGTGTCATGATGCTCTTGGAAACAGGAATGAAAGAGGAGGTAGGAACTTCTACTTAATGTGCAGTGGTCTTTTACTCCTGTAAAAGGCTCAACTCAAAGGAAAAAAATGGACACAGTAGAGCCCAGTAAAACTATTGGGTGCGGGAAATAGCAGCTATAGCGATCAGTGTGCGTGCTAAGGTATATAATTACATATGGCATGTTGCCCACTGGTATGATATAGGCTTTCCAAGATTACGTTTTTCAGTTCCATCCAAGATTCAGATGCAATTTAACCTAAATGTAGAAAAGCAGAGAGACCAGAAAGAGCATAGTTATCCCTTAGTTCTTCTTCGAGTGATGGTCCCTATTTGTATTTCTGTCGTGGGTGCGCATGCGCTGGAGCCGGAAGGTTTCGTAGCAGTGTCCGTTGACCCGCACATGCACTGTGCATCTCCTTGTGCTTCCAGCCAAGTTTATAATAGGCCGTGTATGCTGCCAAGGCAGACAGAACCCTTCAGTCCCTTGTTGACCACAGTGCCGTAGCTGCCTACCTCCAGAGGCCCCGTGTCTTTCGGGCATTGCCCAAAAGTCTGCAATTGCTAGTTGTAGCAATTGCAGACCAATCCAAAGGCAAAGCACTCTCCTGCCAGCGGATCTCAAAATGTGCTATAATTGTATCCGGTGGTTGTACGTCAGAGCACGTAGCATGTCCAGATGCACCCAGAGATCCGCTGGCAGGAGAGTGCTTTGCCTTTGGATTGACCTCGAAGAACCTCCAGTTACAGATAAGTAACCTCTTCAAGTGGTGGTCCCTATATGTATTCCAATCGTGTGATTACTGCTGGCTACTCACATCAGTGTGGAGGTGGGTGCAAAGATGCAGAAGAAAATGCAGTCTAATACAGCGCGGCCCACAGCCACTGCCTGGGTGATAGGCCAGTAGGAGGTGAAGGCGTGACTGGATTGCCATGTTGCTGTTTGACTGATGTCCTGCCAGGATGTTCTTGAAGAGGTTACTTATCTGTAACTGGAGGTTCTTCGAGATGTGAGATCCCTATTGGTATTCCAATACTGGCCCTCCATCCCCTCTGCTGCAGACTGGCATTCTTAGCGGTAAGGGGGTCACTGGAGAGCTGTCGACCCGCTCAGCTGGGAGCATGAGGAGATGCACATGTGCGTCAATGGACGCTGCTACGGAAACCTTCCAGCACATGGCACGCTGACACACCTGTGATTGGAATACCAATAGGGACCCCACAGCTAGAAGAGCCTCCAGTTACAGGTACGTAATCTCCTCTTTTCAGTGCAACAAGAGCTGACTCAGTCATGGTACAGTTTAAAAAAAAAAAGTATAAAACTTGTAACTGCTGTGAAAATGGAGTCTGGGTCATAGTATTGCAAGTCTGAAAGATGAGACCAGCTATCGGTCAAGTGAATTTGACACTTTAATTCTCATAATGTAGGGCTTATTCAGAATTGCTGCTGGAGCCTCCAAGTTAAAGAAGCTGAAAGCTGCATTGGACTGTTCTACTTCCCAGCTAGATGAATTTTATTCAGACCCCCATGCTGTTGCAGGTATTTTGAGTATTCTGAATCAGAGCCTGTATAAACTACTTAATTTTATTTCATGTTTAACCTGGCAGACATATTACACTATTTTAAGATATTAGATATGATCTGTAAATGAAAATGAAATGAACCTTCCACCCTAACTGCATAGCCTTAGAGATCAAGCGTAGGGTGCACGTGCCGTGAAAGTTATGCATGTGGATTTTTGTAAGGCCAGAACAGTGTTCAAAATTCAGGTGGCGATGTTCATACGAGTGTCGTCTTTCTCATGACAGGTCTATTAAAATGATCGAGAGACTAGGGCATGTACAGTTGTAACTGTAGCTCTTACCTGGTAGCCCCATCTTGAAGCTTTATAGCGTGTACTCTTGTCAGCTAGATTGGTAAATGATCCCTGTAGTGTCCAGTGGTGGGCCCCAGTCTGTGACGTGCTGTACAAATCTATTGAGGGAAAAGTCTGAAGTGTTCAGTCTGAGGCCTGATCCTGCGCTGACTTCAGTGGGGCTTCAGAGGTGCAAGGATTGAAGCCAAGATTGTTTCAAACAAAATCTAAAACGAGTCTGTCTGATCTACTGGCTAAGAATGTCCCCCTACTTGCAGGTGCCCTGAAGTCTTATTTACGAGAGTTGCCTGAACCTTTAATGACCTACAGTCTGTATGAAGAATGGACGCAAGCTGCAAAGTAAGAGCACTTAAAATCTAGATATACCAAGAAATGTGTGTGCTGAATTGTTTTACTAAGGCCTGGTCTACACTGGGGGGAGTGTCAATGTAAGATACGCAACTTCAGCTACGGGAATGGCGTAGCTGAAGTCGACATATCTTATTCCGACTTGCCTCCCGTCCTCACGGCGCGAGATCGACGGCCGCGGCTCCCCCGTCGACTCCGCTATCGCGGCTCGCCCTGGTGGAGTTCCGGAGTTGACAGGAGCGCGTTTGGGGATCGATATATCACGTCTAGACGAGACGCGATAGATCGATTCCCCGATAGATCGATCGCTACTCGCCAATCCGGCGGGTAGTCTGGACGTATCCTAAGTGAGGAAAAATGAACTTATGGAAAAGGTCACAGGTTTACACCTTTGTGCTTTCAACTCCAGCTAGTAAATATTTGTGTGCTGAATTAATCTTCAAACTTTTGTGCATTAGTGTCCTGAGTTGGTTTTAAAAGCATTAAAATATACTTAAGTAAAACAGCTTACATTACATTTGAGTATTAAACTACTTCAGACTCTTGGTTACACACTGTGAGATATGTGCAAAGGGCATTGCCTATTCCAAGCAGAGTTAATGAAGGGATTCAGAGCAGTTATTAAATGAGTGAATGCAGAGGCAAGAGGATAATTATACATAGGTGGAAGCCTATAGACTCTGCTTTTCTTTTGCTGGTAGCCGAAGGAATTCTGTTCGCTGATCTAAAATTTCTCTTCCCCACAGCATACAGGACCAGGACAAAAAGCTGCAAGAATTATGGAAAATTTGTAAAAGATTGCCAAAGCCTAACCTAGCTAATTTCAGGTACATTCAGAACAATTGCTACAATGTTTAGCACTACAGCTTCAATGCTAAAAAGTCTAACCTGTTTCAAGGCTAGGATGAATAATGATACGCATTTTGATCTGGTTTGTACAATTAGGATTGTAAAGGGACATCTTGTTTTATCAAGTGCCTTAGTGTCACTGTTGATGGTTCCATTCAGTTTTATTAATTCCTTGAAGTGTGGTCCTGTAGAATTGTTCCCTACTCTCTAACGCCCTGGACTGATCATAGAACAGTAGTGTAACTTCTGTAGCTTCGTTCCAGTGGTGCCTTACATAAACCAACACTCACTATGTAAGGTTTCTCAACTTCACATAGTATTCCTTTTCCTTGAGAACTTCCCAAGCTCAGACACTGCACCTGGCTTCTTCCTAAGCAGCTAAGCTTGCTGATTTCACCCTCAGAGTGAAACACAGGGAAAACAAGTTCTCTGAGTAGTCTTAAGTGCATGACAGGAAAATGTTTACTGTAGTATGGTATTTTGTCTTTATTTAATGTGCTTTCCTAGTGCATGATCATTCTAACCTCAATACTCTAGTTTTTGCTGTAAATATATTAGTTTTTGAAGGCATGCTAGTTCTTCCCTGCTTAAGATGGAAGGTATTTTCCAACTATTAGTCACTTTCTCAGTAAACTCAATTTTCATTGATTAATGGGAAGAAAATTAGTAGCAAAGTACTAAGCATGAAATTTTAGTCCCATTTTTACCAGTCACCCTTAGGAGTTTCTGGAAGCTTGATTTTGAAATGTTTAATCTCTGTGTGATTCCAGTTAGCCGCATCCCCTCCAATGAGACAGCAACTATTAGCAGTCATGTGCTAGCAGAGCATTGTATGTAGTGAACTGTTGCCACCATAACTGTTTAATGACTTGATTCATTCTTTGTAGGTATCTAATCAAATTCCTAGCAACACTTGCACAGAACAGTGACATTAACAAAATGACACCCAGCAACATTGCAATAGTGTTAGGCCCCAACTTGCTATGGGCAAAGACTGAAGGGTAAGTTGGTTCTATTACTAATTGTATCTTCAGTAAAGAATAGAAATACAGCTATAAGTGCTTACCCAAGATCTGAAAAGGTCTTAAACAAGCTGTTGAGAAATGAATTGTAAAGGGTGGGACTTCAGGAGCATGTCTGCTCTCTTCCTCCAGCAAACATTATGAATTGCACACAGACTAGTGGCATAAAGGCTGTGTAGTTTTCAGAATTTTTCCGTTCCATGCACTTTGTGGAAGTCTAGAATATTCTGGAAAAAGCCTGTGCTTGATTATTATTATTTTTTTTTATGTGGCAGTAATTGTGTAGTGGCACTCGTTTAATTCACAACTTTCGGCATGCAAAATGAAGAAAACAACAGTATTTTTAGCTTCGAAAGAGGTGTCTGTATCTAAGATCACGATCTTCTGAATTTTGTCCACAGATCTCTTGCTGAAATGGCAGCAGCAACTTCTGTCCATGTGGTAGCAATTATAGAGCCAATAATTCAGCATGCAGACTGGTTCTTCCCTGAAGGTAAAGACTTGCAGTGATGGGAGGAATTCTGTCAATACTAGTTCCATGGTATTCCTACACTGTTAAATAATTAGGAATATAAAATGTTGATGCACTGCTTCTGTGTACATACATGTCTTACAAGGCTTTATCTGTCTTCATCCAGATGTGGATTTTAATGTATCTGGAGCATTTGTTGCTTTACCTGCCACTAATTCCAATCACTCCTCACAACTTGGGAGTGAGTCTGAGTCGGGGACACTGGAGAGGAAGAGGCCTGTCAGCATGGCTGTAATGGAAGGCGATTTGCTGAAGAAGGAAGGGTATGTTTAGCTCCTGTCATTTTTTAGAGCCATTAGCACACACTGAGAACTCCCAACCACTGAGGAGGTTGTAATTTAACATGTTTCGTATTCATCTTAAAATAAAATTTAAAAATTGTGGTCAGAAGGGGAATTCTATGGAAATACTCCTAGATAACCCGTGCGTGATTTATTTCCCCTCATATTATTGCAGCCTGAGGAAGGGTCAAAGGTAACGTACTGGCATTTACTTCAAGTTATGCTCTCTGCATGATAAAAGCCAAGCAGATAATTACTGCTACTGTTTACAATATTCCCAACTCCTAGATTTTAGGTCTCAAAATCCATTAAAAATAAAAGTACATTTGAAAGTATCTATTGCTTTAACTTTTGAATGTTCCAAGGCTTCTGTTTAAAACCACAGGCTGAAGTGGTGTTATCTGGTGCCTTCATGATAAAAGACTTCTGATTTGATGATGGTACAGTATCCCATGGCAGACGTGCTGTATTTACCCCCATACAATAACATGTAGTGCATTTGTTATCAGTTTTTCATATCCGTATTTAAGGGATGTGCTGTTCTAACTCCTTATGCAAATATTAAATTGTTACCTTGGTTTTAACTATGGTTAGACGCATGCAAATTATTTTATTTCTCGCAAATGTATACTAGATTTCCCTACTGCTGTCATGTGGTGAACAGTATTGACGGAGGGGAAAAAGAGAATCAATTCAAGGTTCATTCTTTCTTGTTTTAGTGGATTTTAACCATGTCAAAAAATATTTCTAGAACATGCCGTGTTAGCTTTTTAAAATGGCATATGTTGGAATGACCGAGTTTATCCATAGTTAAATAAGGTAGTAGTTTCCTTTCTTTTTTCATGCTTTTAACCATGCAAATGTGTATAAGCCTTTCTTTAGTAAATAAATGTTTATCTTGAAGTCTATATGGAGACTTGAAGATACCGTTTTAAAAAGTTTGTGAAACACCTAATGCACAAAGTCTGAAGATACCCTGGTGTCTAAGGAAATTTGTATATATTTACCAGTGTGGTAAAATTACTCAGCACTCAGATCTCACTTGCATCAATGTGTCTTCAATTTGTAATTGAATAGCCCATCCCACTGATGTTTAGTTTACCCTTCTGTGTGAATAAGTCAAGTTGTGTTGCATGTCTTAACAACAGTGGTGTTATATGGAGAAAGGTGAAGCTTTCCTTGTTGCTTTTGTGCATGCTAAGCAACATGGGTTGCTGTCTGAGTTGTAACATGCAATATTGCTCTTTGGCTTTATTTATCTGGAGTTGGCCTGCATGGTGTGTGTTCACTCTCTCTTCTCTCTAGCTTTGGTGTCAAGGTTGTGGACTTCCAAGTGACTCCTCGGAGAGGTGGCACTATAACTAGAAAGCACACATCCCCAGCTTTCCAGCCACCACTTCCACCTCCTGAGGCTGGCATGCTGGCTCAGACTGTAGCAGACCAGCACTCACAGGGTTCTGTGGCTGAAACCAGCCCAGTAAGTGCAACTTTTGCTCCCTTTGCTGGCACAGCAGAACATTTACAAAGTCAAGGAAATGAGGATGTCAGGTAAGAAGTCTGGCTTCTGTTGGCAGTGGCTTAACAGGCTGCTTCAGCAACAAACTGGTCTCTGTCAGTATAAATGAATCAACAGGGTATCACCATCCAACTTGAATACACATTCCCTTTTTGTAACGTGCTTTGAGATGTATGATAAAAAGCACCATACAAGAGATGATGATGCATCTTTCTCTTTTTAATTTGAAGTTAATTACTATAAAATCTGTCTTACAATATGAGAATTTTCAAGAAGTCTCCATCAGTATACTCAGCTGCCCTCTGTTGATTGATCTCTTCAACTCATAATCCTGGAAGTACCTTCAAAACTCAGGCTCAGTTTATTGCTGAAAGCACTAAGAAACTCAGTGGCAATACTAGAAGCCTGTAAGTCTTGTCTTGGTCATGTCTGTTAAGTGATCTAGATTCATGTCTTGTTTGCTTTTCATTAGCAAGTGTGTTAGCTAGCAAGGAACAGACCTAATCTTAACCCTTAAACAGCAAGTCAGAAGTCAATTTATCACTCTTTGGCATCAGCTTCTTTGGCACAATGGTATATTAGATTTTCACCACTTGACTGCTATTGAAATTCTATGCAATCATTTGCTTTTTTGCTAGTCACTATATATTTTGATCCGGAGACTAATTACAATAGATTTGCCCATTCCTTTTCACCCTCTAGGGTTAATGTAACACTTCGCTTTTGGTATTCTCCTGGTTCCTCCAAGTGAGAGCTGGTAAACCATTTTAAAGTGAAGTTTGGAGAAGGTTAGTCTTTTAGGCAACCTCCCACAAAGTAAAACAGGCCATAGGTGCCATTGCTGGATTGGTTCAGATCGGTAACTTCGTTGCACTTTACTTCACTTTTGTTCCCCAAGTGACATTCTTGCAGATCTGATCATAATGGATTAACTCTCCTAAATTAACAATGCCCAAGATCTCTAACTCTGAAAACATGAACTACACCCAAGCTATTAGCAATCAAGGACAGTACTAATGGATTCAGAAGTACAGCTGTATAGAAGGGGTTGTTCTCTGCCTTTAAGAGAAAGTACTGATAGTTTTTCTTACCTAAATTTATCTACACAAAAGCTTTCTTGTTTTGTGAGTGTTAATGAATTCTTCAGTGGCGTTGGATCTTGTAAAAGCCAATACCCTCTCCAAATTCAAGATTACAATCTAACAATACCAACCGGGGAGAGGAATGTACAACATGCAGGCAAAATGATCAGGCATAGAGTTTAATTTTTTTTTTTTTTTTTTTAATTTGTGAGGCAAGTATATGGTGTGGGAATTGCAGGAGGAGTAAAACTGCCTATGTGTGGGAAGGAAGGACATGGATTAGGGGGAAATGCATTCCCCACAACCTGCACTCCACGCAAACCATTCAGACTCCTTGGTTCTCTTCCTGTCCTGTTGTCCTTATGCCCTGGTGGCTTCACTCTTCCTCCGGCCCTGCTCAATGCCTAGATTTTTGAGAGTAATCCAAGTGTTTTCCATGAACATTCAAGTTGGGAGTCTGATGAACCAGCCTTAAATGTATTAACTCCTCTTCAACACAGAGCGAATACAGTCGGTGTTAGAACAGTAATTAATATAAATATGTATTCCAGCGATCATGCAAGGCTGGCTATAGATTTATTTGTACTCCAGATCATTGTTTTGGTGAGACTATATCAAACGTAGTCAGCAGGGCACGCTTAAGACTAAGACTTGGTCTACGCTAGAAAATTAGGCTGGTTTAATTACATCGTGTGTGAAAAATCCACACCTGTGAGCGGCATTTTAAAGCTGACCTAAGTCCCTGTGTAGGCAGCGCTCTCTCCTCTTGGGGAGGTGGATTTACACCGTCCCTCCCATCCGCATAGGTAGTGTCTGCGCTGAAGTGCTGCTGCTGTGCCGCTCTACTGTTTCAAGTGTAGACCAGCTCGAAGTGGACAGCTGACCATGGCAGCTCTCGAGATGCACAGTCTCGTTACTTCAGTTGTAACTCAGAATCCCTTCAGATACCATTTTAGTACAGGAATCTGTTTCCCATGACTCGGACACCTGTATCTGGAATTTACTTGTTTCTGGTGTAAGCCCATGAGTTTGGTGCAGTACATCTGGGGGAAGAGGTATATCAAAAGCAACTTCTGATTCAGGTGTTTTAAATTTTCAGTACCTCAAAGCCCAGGGACACTGCAGCTTCAACTACTCCTCCGCCCGTGAGAAATGGTGGGCACTTAAGCACTATGCAGAACCAGCCACAGTCATCCAGTAGCTCTAACCAGCTTTGTGTTGGTCAACCCCAGAATGCTGCTGGTCCCAGCCCCCACGCAGTGAGGCGAGGTATGTTGGGTTCTTGTTTGCTAGACTCATTTCTTAAACAATTGTGGTTAAAATATTGACCTCTCTCAGCTGGGTGCTTGCCCAAGTAGCCGTTTTCTGGGATCGCTGTCAGTTATTGCACTCCTGGTTTATTTGGATGGACCAATTCTCCACTCAAGCCAATAATTCAACAATGTGTTTTACCAAAACCTACTTAAACTTGAGTGTGCTACCATGGACAAGTCTGAAGAATACTGCGATGCTGCCAACAGCGTACAGTGGTATCACTCAGGCAGGAGTTTGCTGATTAATCATCTTTGTCTTCATTTCTTGGTAACCAATATGAAACTACAGCAGTAGTAGGCCTGGATAATTTCAACTGGAAAGCGTCTGGGCATTTTAAATGATGTTACTCATTCCCTTATTTTAAGGTTTTATTTCAGCTGTACATAGTAACTAATATATTCTTATCAATGTCTCTCAAAGCTGTTAAAAAGCCTGCACCTGCACCTCCCAAACCTCCACCTGGGCAGCCAGGAAACCATGGTTCTGTCGCAGCAGCTCAACTACCTTCTGTCTCTCCAAAACCACCCACAAGAAGTCCTTCTCCTCCTGGTCAACCTACAAACCCTGGGGCAGTCCAGACTTCCACCTCTTCCCAGGCTTCTGCACCTCGGAGATACTCCAGCAGCCTCTCCCCAATTCAAGCTCCGAACCACCCACCTCCACAGCCCCCAACACAGGCTACTCCTCCACTGCACCCTAAACTAAATAGTCAAGTATCTTCTCCGCCTGCTGTACCTAGTGGCGAATATGGACCTGAACAGCCATCTTGTACTCCTCCTCAGACTCCAACGCCACCTGATACGCCTCCTTTAGGAAAACACAATGCTAGCTCAGCACTATTTCCGCTGCAGTCGTCTACCCAAGAAACTTCGCAGTCTCATTCTCCTCCTCAGACTGGTACGTTACCGAGACCAAAGCCAGTACCAAAACCCCGCAACCGACCTAATGTTCCCCCACCACCTCATCCTCCTGCTTCTCATTCATCTGGAGACAGTGTTCTTACAAATCCCACTCAGACTGCTTCCAAAATAATAACTGGTAAGTGAATTCTTCTTTGTATGCTGTAGCATACATATAATATATTTTGGGGCTGGGGAATCATCAAGTTAAAATATACTGATGAACCTTCTTTGGTGAAATATGAAAAGCAAGCTCAGTTAAGTTATTAACTTACTGGTTTTATTTTGTTAAAATGCTTGACCTGTATATTCTGGTATACAAAGTCTCTGCAGAGAACGGTCCAGCATTTTCCATGGAGAGAACTTTTTGTTCTTATAAGAATGAATGTGATTTACTTTCTAAATATGTTTTCCAGCCTTGACAGCAGAGCATTGTTATAGGACTCAACTTTAAATGGCTTTCCCAAGCTCTTCACATCATGGCAGCCACCATTACGTAGGCACCAGTTGCAGAAATGGCAAATATTTTGAAGTGAGAGGAGGCCTAGCCAAGGAGAACATATTAAGCACATATTCTAAGCCAAGATTTCTGAAGTGGCAAATGCCTTTGTGAGCCCTGACACAATGTTAATGGACCTGACTTTTCAGAGGGTGAAAATCAGGCCCCCATTAAGATGTTCCAAATTCGGCCCCCAAAATCACTAATTGTGTTTGAACACCATGGCCTGGTATAAATATGCATCTCTGTATTGCAGCATAACATTCCGTGCTACTCCAAGTATGTCCACACTGCAGTCAGAGATGCAAATAACAATAGCAGTGAAGCTGCTTGGGGACCAGGGAATCTATTCAAACGTCTGGTCTGTGTTGCTGTGGCTTCACTGCTATTGTTCAGGCTAGTTAGATCACACTTAACTTTGGGTATGTCTAGACATGCTGCAGTCACCCCTCTGATTGCAGTGTAGACAGACCCTCCTGGGGCACAAGGTGGTTATTTGCAGGCTCCCACAGGAACAGTGAGTCTGCATTTTAGAGATGATAGGTGGTAATAATGAATTTAAATCTTGACGAAAAATGTAACCATCAGTCACAAAACCCAGCACTTTTGAAATGTCTTCCTGCTAAGTCGGACTTTTTTAGACACTTTAAAAAGGAAAGGTGGTGAACATAAAAGACTAATGCTTTTAAATCTGCTTATTTGTTAATGGTTAAAATCCTTTCCAATGACACTTCAGCTGTCTAGAATAAAGACTAATTTTGTTTGGAATGCAAACTATATTCTGTTACCTAATAGCTCTACCCCGTGATGCCTTCACAGGTGGGGAAGGTTACTGCGAATAAGGTTTGTACTGATCAAAACCCTGCAATATAGCTACAAATGCTCCTGCGCAGCTGTTTTATGTGTAGCTTTATTTTGTTCATGCGCTTTAAAATGTGTGCTTTTGTCAAATTAGCACTATCTCATTATCACACATGCCATCCAGTTCCTAACAGACATTAGAACCCATGTTTCATTTTGATATTCACTTGCAAGCTTTTTTTAAAAGAATCCTCAAAGTGTACCTCGTAAAACCATGCAAATAATTAACACTTAAAAACGTAGCGCAGCTGTTACCAGAACTACCACTTCTGGAGTCTAAAGTGACATATAGTGCCCATTTTAAATGTCTGTTCCCCTCGGTTAACTTTTGCCAAACTGAAGAGTTGGGAGTTAGCACAAGCAAACTTTGCCACTCATCTTTTGATTCTAATGCAGCTTTTACCCTAGGATTTTGATTATTTGGATTTTAACTGCTTGGAACTTACTCATCTAAAGCGCACAGTGTTCATGAACTAAACCCCAATGCAGAAAAGCTACTGGCAGCATCTCTTTGCATTCTGGCATGTTTGTACTTGCGTTCTATAAGCTCTCTAGCCTCCTTAATGGTGCAACAGGTCTCTAGTCAACTACAAGCTGTCCAAAGAATAGGTTGTTTAGAAACTTGACAGTTGCCTAATGTAATGGCTTACAGGTGCTATCTGTTTTGAGGCAACAATTTATGGTGGGCTGAATAAACTGAGGCCACATATCTTCCTACTGTATTTTCCACTCCATGCATCTGATGAAGTGGATTTTAGCCCACGAAAGCTTATGCCCAAATAAGTTTTAGTCTCTAAGGTGCCACAAGTACTCCTTGTTCTTTATACCTGAGTTGATTGCCCCAGGACGTGGGTATTACAGGATTTATAGACAGTGCACTTACAATTAATATTGTACTGAGAAGCTTAATTGTAATTGCAATTTCTAAATGAAACTACCACTAAACTGGCTGTCAAACTGCTGTAAAGTGAACAGCTTTAAATAGGGCTTTAATCTTTTGTCCTCTGTGAAGAGCAGGAGCGTGATGGAAGGTCAGCTACATTAATCTCTCCAGAATAACAGCAAAATTCTGTTTCCAAATTGAGCTGGGAAAATAGTGCTGAGGGCTGGGATTCTTGCAGCATGCTTGACAGTGAGTTATGCTGGGGATAAGAGCCACCCTGATGTGTCGGGCAGGGAGGAAGGGCCGAGCTTCCTTTCCCAAATGTTGGTTTCTGCAATTTGACTACCTCATTTTGTTTGGGCTTTGGTGTATTTTTCCATATACATGGAGTTTCCTGCTTTATCTGAGGTAGTGGCTTTGTTGCTGGCAAACAGCTAAAAACTGAGTGTTATTAGTCAGGTCAATCCCGTAGGGTTATTTAGGAATAGCCATGTCATTAGGCAAATCCCTCCTCTTTGGATAATAGCCATTCAGAATACAGGAATGTACTTATCTGTTGTAACATTGCCTCATTTGAATAATCATTTAATCACAACAGAGTACAGCAATCTGCGCAGCTGAGAGGTGTGGCTATATCAGTCACCATACAACACTCCTGCAAGTCTGTGCTGGGAAATTCCATTTGTTTAGTAAAAGAAGCCACTTAAAGCAGAACTAAAGTGTTTGATTTGATCCATATATTTCCTTAATGTATCCAGGGGCTGATTCTGCCAACTGTATCTCAAATGATGCCATTTGTACAGTGTCAGACTGGAAAAGTTTAAGGCCACAAGTACTAAAGTAATTTAATCTTTAGTGAGCAAGCTTTAGCAAACCAGCCAGATAGTGGCTCTGATGTAAGCAAGAGTACAAGAACTTTACTGGCATTATTACATGACTAGGGAAAAGCAGGAGTGTTTCTATTATTGGCTTCTATATTACATCTAACAATACATTCAAGAAATCTCCTGGAAGTTAGGGAATTTGGAGAAAAGGCTGAATCTCAATGCTCAGGTTTACCCCTTGCAAGTCACACTAGGATAGGATCATCCACTGTTTGGAGACTAAAGAGACAATCATACAGACTATGGTGGAAGATAAAATTTCATCCTTAACCTAACACCCAACATCATACTACTTAAAAGTTACGGAGCAGTTACTCTTATTACAGGTGCACCTTAAAAGCACTTATTTTAAAGACCCCTGGGCTGCTGTAGCTTTCATGAATTGGCTCCGTTGTTAAATATTTTTAACTGATCCATGTGTATATAGGCTGTCTTTTAACTTTATGCTTAACAATAAATAGCATACTAGGGAAAACCAGACTCTCACAAGCTGAAACTATGGAACTCTGAATTAAAACTAGCAATAAATGTCTGACATTTGAACTGTAACCCCTGAAAAGCTGCAGGGTGTTTGTTATACCAACTCCTTAGTCATGCTTTAGATTTGAGTAACTCTTCAAATCTTGTTAATGGTTGTAAAGTAATTAGCTCTAAATGCTAATTGAAAATTTTATTAAACAATCTAGATGTTTGACCTGCATTATTCAATGTGAACTGAAATTGGAAAGTTTAATGGTAAGGAAAAGGCATTTGATTGGCCAAAGATATTGCTAGTTCATGACTGAATGTGCACTAATGCCACTACTAACCTGTCACCATAACGCCGCTTGCTTACATTCCGATTAATATAGCATGCAAAAAGAATGGCTCTTCTATTTTATGCTTGCCCTAAATTTAACAAATACTAAATGCATTCAAGGCTAGAATGTAGTTCGTTTCGCATCACTAATGTCTCATATCTTATTTTACTTTTTTATTTAATGGGAATCGTAACATAGATGGGTTTTAATCTCTATTCTGTGTTGTATTTGAAGAAGCTGTGCCTTTTTACTATTGTTTTTCTGTTGTAGCAAAAAAAAAAAATCTTACCCCGTTATCCTCCTGTTAATGGTCACCCTCCCTTTTCTAGTCCGTCCTTCACAATGAAGTAGTGATGAGGAGCGCTCCTGTCCCATGCCTTCCCCTGGAGGTTACGACACAGTCTAAGATGATTCTGCAAAAAAAACCTCTTGGAATACTAAACCACTACTGCAAATTCAATAGTACTAAATTTGTAGAAAGTGTAAGATGCTAAGTGTGTAAATGCTTCCAAGGCCCCTGCCATTTAAAAAAAACTTTGTTCGTCCCTGCAGTCTGAATTTTAAAAGGTATAAAATACTAAGATGGATTTGGAATGTCTTTAATTGTAACTTGCAGTGCTGTAAATGTATTGGTTCCAGGATATGAGAGACAAGATGGATTAGGTAATATCTTTCATTGAACCAACTTTTGTTGGTGAAAGACGCTTTCAAGCTACACAGAGCTCTTCTTCAGGTGTGGGAAAGAAGACCTGTGTGTAGCTCAAAAGCTTGTCTCTCTCTCCAACAGAAGTTGGTCCAATAAAAGATATTACATCATCCACCTTGTCTCTTTACTGGCATTTGAGTCTAGTATGTAATGCTCGTGGTGATGGCAGTATAAGAACGTGTATGACTTACTAAGACTTCAAAGTTCCTTTTAAAAAAAAAAATTCTTAAAATTGTAATCTCTTTATTTCAGTATTAAACAAAAATTAGTTTTGCTCTACCCTGGAAACAAGAAGAAATCTAACTTTTTTTTTAGTGGTGGTTCACCAAAATAGATCTTTGTTTACCATGCTGCTTGTTCTAAAATCTGGAAGGTTTTTATTGTACCTTTATTATCCTTATTTCTAACAGTTTAGGAGCTTTGGAATGAAGGATTAAAAAGGTACAATTTCACTTACCACTGAAATTCAGCCACTTTATGGATGGTATATGTTTTGGGTTTTTTCTCACAACACCCTAGTACAAAAATTAGAGAAGGAAATGCATAACTTACTGGTTGAATCTACATAGTGAATTTAAGTAAGATGAAAGTTATGTAAATTGGAATCCTATTACAGAAAGGGCCATGGGATCTTATGATTTCATGTGGTAAGGACCTGATTAAGCGTTCTGCAAAAAGCTATCCGCATAGGGCCTTTGAGGTATTGATTTAGGGACTCCACCTACAAAGACAGCAACATCACTGCAGTAACTTGGATTTTCCAGGCTGTTTTTTCCTACCACCCTTGAGCAAAGATTTACATAAATTTGATTTGTTGCTAAAGTGGGGAAGGAGCAGGAGTTCTCCTACTAAATTCTAATTCCACCTCTGCCACTGACAATCCCTGGGCCCAGATCTTCCATTTATGCATTTGTAAAACAAATAATACTTACCCATTGTTTCTGTTTGAGGCTTAGTGTTTGTATCTTTGAGCTCTTCAAGGGGGTTTAAAATTGCCTCTCCGAGCCAGAGGAATAAATAACTGATCTGTGTCTCGAGAAGCTGAAGTGTATGTGGCACATTATGAACACTTGGTTACTTTCCGAAACTCGGAGGTGAAAGCTTTCATTCAAATGGTTAGCTGTTCTTCCTGGCTTTCTGCCCTGTTCCTAACACCACCAGAACTGCAAGATTGAGATCCCCCCTGTCACTTTCTAGATGCTTGGGCCAGAACAAAACTCTCCCGTCATTGATCAAACACAAACTACAAGATGTTCCCTACCCGGCCAGGGGAAAGAAGCTGAACCCAACCCTTTCTTGGGACCATTTATGTTGATTTGAAATAGTTTCTTCTTCTACCTGTAATAGACACCTCCCCTGGATATCATGCATGTTTGTTACTTAACAAGTAAGGGGGAGATATTTGACTAATACTCTTTATAGATGCAAAATTTATTCTGGTTTCCTCCAGAGTGGGTGTCTACAGCAGAAGCTGGGAATCTTACATGGCAGTGTAATTTGACACTGAAATGTTCAGTTCTTTTTTTAGCTTGTTTCTGTCAGGCAGGTGACAATGATGGGGATGGCTGGGAGGAGCTACCCAAACCTCATTCCACTTTTCTGAAGTGGCTTGTGTGTGCATACGCAGGCCCTGAACTTGCAAAGCCTCTGTTAAACTGCTGTCCTATCTGGATCTGTTCCTTTCCCTTTGTTTATAAGGAAATATGCCTGAGATCTAATGAGTGTCCAGACACTGTACACTTTACATTTTTCTCCTTTTTTTGTAGACTCCAATTCCAATGTTCAAGAACCACTTAGGCGCCTCTCTTCAGAGCTTCCTACAGAGCCTGCAAGCAAGGAATTGCACAACCATCTAATGCTTAATGTTGACAATGATACAGAAAGCACTGCTCTGTAAAAGAAACCAAATACTCCAAAACTTTTAAAAAAACCTTTCTGTCCACATGGAAAAGTAGCAAATCAAGACCTAACAGTGAAAAGCTTTTTTGAAGATATGGCGGAACTGTCTGAAGGCTCTACTTACATGTAAGGCAATTTAACCATACAGAAGAAGTTTAATGATCTGTGTCTTGACAGTGGTTTCAAAAATCCTGGATGGGAAGAGTTGATTACTGTGGAAATTTATGTAGGAAGCTTAATTGCTGCTAATACACGTGCGTTAGCAGAACCCCCAAAAGAATAAAAAGTAGTGCATCAGTTACTATTTAAAGTGCATGTATGGAAATAACCCAGTTAATGTCACTGTTACTTTTGTTCCTAGTTCTTAGACATTATATTCAAAAGGAGATGCCTTGCAAGAGACTTTCCCTCACTGACTTGCTGCAGACTTTTGTTAAAGTATGAACCAAAAAAATGCCAGAGTGCTGGTGGTGACTGCTGGTTATCAGTCACCTGTCAAAACTGTGGATGTATTTCAGTGCCTTGAAGGACTGTCATATGGTAGAAAGAAACTTACTGTATCTTTAACCATTTTATTGCTACTTTAAGTACTGACCATTATCTGTATGTCATAGTTATGTGTATTAACCATACCTGCTTTTTATGTGAAATTCATAACTGTTTCAAGGTGAAATGGTGGAAATGTTTATGCTTTCATTTGAATTGGTTGAATTTTGAAAGAATTTTGAACATCTGTTTGGATTCATCAGTTGAGTGAGCATTTATAAAATTAAAGGATTCTCTCTCGTCATTTGAAGGCCTATTTATTCCAGTATCCAAATATAACTAACTTCTCATTGCGTCTTTGTGATCCATTGAAAACACACCAGGACTTCAATGCTGAGCTTTAACTGCTACTCTTTAAAGTGGCTACATCTGAGGCCTGGTGCCTATTAATTACTCAACCAGGGAAAGTATGGCTGAGAGCTCAACTGGTGTATCTTTCATATTCTATGCAAGAGACAGAATCAAAGGACTGGAAGGGATCTCTAGGGGTCATCCAGTCCCCTGCACTCACGGCAGGACTAAGTATTATCTAGACCAGGGGTCGGTAACCTACAGCATACGTGCTGATTTTGAGTGGCATGCAGCTCCCTGCCCACTGCTCTCCCTTGTGGGGGCAGGAGCCAGAAGTTTTGGTCCTGGGGCAGCCAAGCTTCCCTTTCCCCCTCCTCCTCTGTCCCTGTGCCAATCAGCTGATGGCCCTAGCAAGGGGGAGGGGGAAGAGCAACAACATGCACACATTTCAGAGTAGCAGCCGTGTTAGTCTGTATCCGCAAAAAGAAGAACAGGAGTACTTGTGGCACCTTAGAGACTAACAAATTTATTAGAGCATAAGCTTTCGTGGACTACAGCCCACTTCTTCGGATGCATATA